TGGTGAGTTTCATTTAGTGAAACTCTGATATGGACTTGGGCTTTTCACTATCCCCACCCCCCATTTGGCTGAGCCTATCAAACATGCGCAAATCACTTACTAACTGCACCACAATTTTATTCTTTTTCATTTCTTTTCCTTTGTTTTCATTTTATTTTGCTGTTTCATTTTAATTCATAAAAAATGTTAAATAAATGTAATAAATCATGAAAAAAATTCATCTAGGTAATCTGACATTTGCTTTAATTTTGCATATTTTTTTAATTGCATTTTTAATTCTTTTTCAATTAATTGTGTATTTTTCATTTGATATGCTTTTAATGAATAAAAAGAATTGCATGTTCACTTCTAGAATTTTATTTCCTTAGCAAAGCATCAAATAAACTTCTTCTTTTTTGTGTGATGATTCTAGACATCTTGATTGATTTTTAGGTATTTTTGTTCTTAATTTTAGATGCCATTTTATTAGGTTTTGGATTAAATCTTTAGCACCCTTTCCCTTTGCCTTATCCATAGAACACATTAGGGTTTTGGCCCCTGTTAGCATACTTAGGCTTGGAGTTTTGCTCCACAATTTTAACCATAGATTCCTAACATCATTAAGACTCCCTAGGGTTTTTAGTAGAATTTTTAGGCTTGTTTTACTATTCTTAATAGATTTTGCATTCTGGCTGATGCTTGTGTGTTTCAAATTGTACCTTCACCTAGTTTTGCATTTTAGGTGATCCTTTTGCAATCCTTAGGCACCCAATCATTGCATGTTCCCATAGTACATAGGTTGAAGCCTATGTAGGTTAAATTTAAAGTCTTTAACATGTCCATAGCTTGATTAGGGTAGACTTCCTTTAGAGCTTAACTTTTAGGGTTCCTTAGAAGCTTTTAAGTTTTTGGTTTCTCTTCCTTATGTGATTCCTTTGCTTTGCTTGGTTCCTCCCACATTTCTCTATCCTATGATTTAGGGTTCCCATTGGTGAGAGCCTAGTTCTTCCTTTGGAAGAACTAAAGGCATGCCATGAATGGTAGAACTCTTGAGGATATATCTTAAAGATTTTGGTTGAGTGTCATGGTGGATTCCCTTGGTCTACACCATGCTCCCCTTCATCATTCCCTCCTTATTGTCCATTAATCTTAGGATCCCTCTTGTGAGAGCCTGGTTCTTCCCTTGGAAGAATTAAAGTGCATTCCATAAAAAGGTTAAGTCTTTAAGGACTCCTGTGTTGATACACATTAACCTAATACCTTAGATCTCCACTAAGTTCCACCTCACTCATCTGTCCTACAATCTTAGGATCCCTCTTGTGAGAGCCTGGTTCTTCCCTTGGAAGAATTAAAGTGCATTCCATGAAGAGGTTGAACCTTTGATGGACTATTGTGTTGATACACATCTAAACTTGATGAATTCCTAAGATGATTTCCTTGCTCCTCATCTTGTTTATCTCTTCTTCATGATTGATTGATTGTTTGCTGTGATGCATTAGGATAGAATTGCATGTGTAGGCATTTTTTCCTTAAGTTCATGCTTGCATCTAAAGGTTGAGGTTTCCTCCCTTTGCTTGGTTGTTTCTTTTATTCTCTATGTTTGCTTGTTTGCATTAGAGGTTGAGGCTTCCTCCCTCTGCTTGTATTGTTGCATTGCATACCCATACATGTACTCATTTTATCTGCTTGATAGCAGTATTCATCTGTTTTTGCTGTTGTTTTCCTTTCCATTTGCCATGATCCCTTAGGATTCTCACATCCTTGTTCAAGGATGGTGATGATAGACACTAGGTTTTAATCCATGCATGACAACAAGTAGGATAGATTCCCCTTTCAAACTCAACATTAGGACCATATTGCATGACAATAGTAGGTTTCAATTAGTCCCCCTGTAGAGTCCTTCTCTCATCTTCGAACAATTTCAAAACACTTAATAAAGACTAATGAGTATTGTACGTTACGAGCCTTAAGCTACCCAGGAAATGGTTATTGGAGGGTTTCCTTTCAGTATCCAGGATGTTTAGTGTGACACCCTTTGGGTGACATGCGACGCATTCACTCCTAGGTCATAGTCTCTAGTGCAATATGAATTACAAACATTCATCAAAAACACTTCTTATAAAAGACTTAAAAAACAACATTCAAACCTCTTTTTCCCTGTGGGGTCCTTTAATTCAGAAAACCTTTTCAGATGAAAAGAGTGCTGTTAAGCTTCGATTCTACCGCAGACAGGCGTTGTCCCTAATTGCTGGAACTGTAGTTTAACCTTACTCGGATAAAATCCACGAACAAACCTGTGTTCTCTTTATCCCGAACTACGTTCGCTCTGATCTCTCATACCTGTTGAGAGTACGTAGGCACAAGACGCGATGTCTTGGCGAGCAACCTTCCCCTATCTTTTCGTCGTAGTTAGCTGAACTACGTTAACCCTGACTTTCCCATTGCACGAGGGAATACGTAGGTCCAGAGCAGCGACGCTATGTCGAGTCCTTTCTTTTCTTTTAACTCAGACCATTAGCTAGATAGTTAAACAACCCTTTTAGATAGACAAACAAGCGTGGATCCCGTTGAGTACAACGGACGTGAGGGGTGCTAATACCTTCCCCTTGCATAATCGACTCCCGAACCCGAGATTTGGTTGCGATGACCTATCTTATCCCTTTTCGCTAGGTTTTTCCTGATCGTTTCATTTCCCTCCTTTGGGATAAATAACGCTAGGTGGCGACTCTTCTGTCTTTGCCGACACCTTTTTTCGTAGTAGCGACAGCTTGTAAGGTGTTCAATTATTTGGGGACATCCGTAAAAGGGAGAAATTGTCTCCTGGCCGATTCAAGGAATAATCAATCTTCCCCACTTCCGTGTTTCTGTTAGGGAAACTTGAGAAGTTGCTTTCTAGTCAGTTCCATTGAACCTCTATAAATTCCCTAACCTCCAAGGTCAAAGGGGATAAACACAATTTCAAAACAAAAATATATAGGGTATCTCACCATTCATGTGTGAGATGACTCTCTTTCTCCATGAGTGTACGTTTTGTAAGTATAATTGGCACCCATTGTGGAGTTTCGGTAAAATTGACATTACATCACCTACATTCCCATGAAAATTGCCTTAAGCGTCGTCTATAAGATGGTGAAAATGCAGGGCATCACATCTATCGAACAACAATTCTAACAACGATCATCAACCTATAGTATAGATGCAATATATTATGGAATTCACACTAAGATATTCATGTCGCTGAACACTCGATGAGAGTAAACAATTTCGTAGGGATGAGTTAGAAGAAAGTCAAGTCCCACAATTGTTAAAGATATGACTTGCAAAATGATTTATATAGAGTGAAATCTTCCACCTTTCAAACCAGTTTTCTAGAGATGAGTTAGACCAAACTTTAATTTTATCATGAAATCAAGAGCTTATCGATGTGTGTCATCCATCATTCATATACGCGCATCAAACCCAATAGTACAAAACGTAAATGAATGTATTGAATTTTTTCCGCCTATTGATAACTTAAGTCATCTACTGTTGACATCCACACACCAAACTTAATAATATTAGACATGAATGAATGTCTGAAAAAAAACTTATATCATACGTTTAAATAGCGACAATATTTCCAAATAATTTATATATAACAACCATCTTTTACATTATCAACAATTTTGTAAAGATAAATTAAATTAAATTCTAATTTTAATAGATTCATATCATCAAAATATCAATAACTAAAAAAAATTAATCTAAATATATTTTATTCCGTCACTTCTTAATCAAAAGTCATCAATAATAAAAAATCAAATTATATGTAATTCACATTCACAACACAAATTGATAAGTCTTATTCGATTGAAAGTCTTACATAAATAATAAAATTTAATTGAAATATATTATTATTGTAAAAGAGTTTTATACTGTCAATTAATAATAGTCATCAAAAGAATTTTTATTTTAATCACTTATAAAATAAGACAAACAGATGATGGTGATTAATCTGACCGTGTAATTAATCTATTAGTGAGGATTATCGACTAGGCGTGGTGTAGGTGGATCGTAAAGCAGGTTTTGAGGCATAGAAACCATGCAGAATTGCTTGGCTTACGGTGGGCTGTTCCTGCAGTATTGATGCGTGTCTTGGTCTTTCTGTCTTGGCCTCCAAGTGCAATCCGTGGCAGCTAGGCATTTTGCAAGTTCGCGGCTCATTAATCATGTTCTTGCGCTTAGGCTTTGGCAATTTCAAAGCATCGGAGGAATCTTCCGGTTGGCCTGTTGGTTTTGGATTCACCTTGGCAGGCAGTATCTTGAGTGCTTCACTTGGAACCAGTGTGGATTTAGAACGTTCTCCTATCAATCTTGGAGGAGCCTCTCAATTTGTATCAGGTAGTAAATGGCTCTTGAGAGTTTTGCTGTTCATGATGTGTTCTAGTGTATATCATACTCAATTTATACCACACAAAAAATCCCTACTTTGACAAAAATACCCTTCATATAACAAAAGAAAGCATCCAAGGGCTGGTTTTTATTACTACCTCTTGGAAGAATCAACGGTTGATATCAATTCAAATAACAAGAAGCTTCTCTTAAACCCCTTTTGCAAATTCTCTCTAGGGTTTAAGCAGAAGAGAAAATCACCGAGAACAAATCCAAGGTACGTTCTCTTCCTCCAACCCTTTCTTCATGCTTATCTTCGATTACAGCTTCACTATCTTTGTATATGATGAAATTTTTGTTAGGATCCTTTTCCATTACATTAGTTTTGTCTTTGATCATAGATTCATAATATCTCTTTCTGGTTCTTGAATCAAAACCATAAGTTTAACCGGATGAGAAATTTTTCAACTTTTTGTTTAGTTTATTGAGATTTTATGTTATTTTGTTGGTTTTTGCTTCAGGGTTTATTGATGTTTGTGGTATTAGGTATAGATTGTATGTTCAGATTTTGTGTGTTTTTTATATTGTATTCTGAATGTGATTAATGAAATATAGGTTAGTTTTTTGACAATTTTCATCAGGTTGCAGAAATGGCTTTCTTTGGTAGAGTTGGGAACATAATAAGGAATGCAGCCAATGTGAAGATCACTTCTGAGTTTAAGCTACGTACTTTCCCGTCTGTTTTTCAAGCTATACGGTGCTTTTCGAGTACTCCGTCTACAAAGCTGTTTGTAGGAGGTGAGTTTTAATTACAATCTACTCTATTTTGCATACACATGCTGTGTTGTTTTTCCGTATATATTGCAAGCTCTATAGCAATGACACCTCTGAAAAATGTGAGTGTCTGAAACCAACATGGTGGGTTGTTTTTCTGTATAAATTATTCAACTTTTTTCAAATTATTACCGGTTTCAACAGGTCAGCGTTGGTGTCGTGTTTTCGGTGTTTGTGCTTCATAGGTTGAAAGGAAACCTTGTTGGAGGTTCTCACGGTTAAGCTGTGAAACTATGAAGCACCGAAACACAAATACCTAACACGTGACACTACTAAGTAATTTAGGACAATGGAAGTGATTGAATATTAATCTATGTTTGAAGTCGACGTGTCAGTGTTGGAGTCATGTTTCCGATGTCCGTGCTTCATAGATTGAAAGGAAACCTTGTTGGAGGTTCTCAAAGTTTAAGTTGTGAAGCTATGGCTATGAAGCACCGACACGATACAAACACCGATCACGTAGACACTGATAAATAATTTAGGACAGTAGAAGTGATTGAATATAAATCTATGTGTTTTTGTCGAACACTGAAACATGCGAGGCACCAAACTCGCCTCCTATTTGAATTTTTGGTGCTACACTGTTGTGTAGTCAATCTCTTGTAAACAGTGTTATCAAATATCCACAATTGCGGCACTATGGAGGATATTTGTGGCGGTTTTTGGGTCGCCGCAATGGTAAATATCAGTCGTTATTGCTGGTTTTTCCGCTATAACTGTGCTGCAATAGCGCCCGGTATGGTGGGAATTTGGCTCTCCGCCATAGGCCACCATCTGCCATGAACGACACTGCTTGTAAAAGCAAGATAAGTTTGCTATAATAAATCCGTAGTGCGTTTGACCCTTCTTTTAGACCATGTTGTGTCAAGGTAGAATCTTTATAGACTTATAGTTATAGTTAACAATACTCATAATGAATAAGAATAATTACATTTACATGTGTTACAGGTGTTTCATATTCTACTGATGAACAAAGTTTGAGGGAAGTTTTTGCAAGATACGGGGAAGTTGTCGATGGTGAGTAGTCAGATTATCCGCTTTTCTTCTGCCTTTACTAAATTCTTTTGCGGGGGAAACGGGATTCAATTGAAAAACTGTTGCAGTCATTTGTGTTGATTGAAGTTGTTATTAATTGCTGTTTAACCTCATGCTTTTGTAGTGAGGATAATAATGGATCGTGAAACTGGTAGGTCCAAAGGATTTGGCTTTATTACTTACAATACAGTTGAGGAGGCATCAAGTGCCATTCAAGCCTTGGATGGACAGGTAGTATTAGACTGTTCTTAGTATTATTAGTGTTTCATTATTAGTAACAATAAACTGCAGAATGATCGTATACACATAACACATATACAAATGACTAAGCTTCATAGGTAAGCCATTAAATTAAGCTTATTTGTCAAATTTACACGCTTCTTTAACTGTTAGTGAATGTGTCTGAGTTTGTCGATGTTGTTGCTTTTTTTTTTTTTTCAAGTGTCCTTAGAAATTTAGGGCTTTTACAAATGTGTCTAATTATTTATGTTACTATTAATGTGGCTGTGACTAATACCATTAGTTTGGGTTCTAATCATGACAAGCTTCATAAACTAGTATGCTCTCGTTGTCTCATTATTTTGAATCGTAAGATTGAGTATTTTTATTAAATAGCTAATCATTGTGAGATCCATAATAGATAGAGAGAACTTCATCCTTGTGGTTTTCCTGCTATTGTGGTTCCTTCATTTGATAGGTCATAAGTGAGAAGATATTCATACGGTTTCCAGTTAAAGTTTTCATTATTACGAACTTAGAACGCATCTACATGTTGTATATTATCTGTAAATCTTAAGTATATCACAATTGAAGCGGTCTCTGAAATGTTATATTCTTTGACCCTTCGTGTATTGAGTCAATTATTGACTGACAAATAACATTTACATTATTATTTATTTTTTCTGAATGTAATTTTGTTTACAGGATTTGCATGGTCGCCGGGTTGGTGTAAATTTTGCCAACGAAAGAGCCCGTGGAGGATACGGCGGCGGTGACGGTGGTTTTGGTGGATCTTACGGAAACACTTCCTATGGTGGTGGAGGTGGTGCTGGATATCAAGGTGGTTATGGTAACTCTCCCTACGGTGCTGCTCCAAGTGGTGGTGGGTATGGTGATGCTGGTGGTAATGTCACTGGAGGTTATGGAAACGCTTACAATGATGGAACTACTAGTGGAGGTTATGGTGGCAACAATGCGAATTATAGTGCTCCTGTGGGTAGTGGTGAAAGCAATACTCTTAACTATGGCAGTGCTCCCGCCGTTGGTGGTTATGGCGGTGGTAACAATGGGAATTACGGTGCCGCTGATACTGTTAACTATGGTAGTGCTCCTGGCGTTGGTGGTTATGGTGGAGGTAACAATGCAAGTTACGGTGGCGGAGAAAGCAATTCTGTTAACTATAGTGCTCCTGGTGTTGGTGGCGGAGAAAGCAATACTCTTAACTATGGCAGTGCTCCCGCCGTTGGTGGTTATGGCGGTGGTAACAATGGGAATTACGGTGCCGCTGATACTGTTAACTATGGTAGTGCTCCTGGCGTTGGTGGTTATGGTGGAGGTAACAATGCAAGTTACGGTGGCGGAGAAAGCAATTCTGTTAACTATAGTGCTCCTGGTGTTGGTGGCGGAGAAAGCAATTCTGTTAACTATAGTAGTGCTCCTGGTGTTGGTGGTTACGGTAGTGGTAATGCAAATTATGGTGCCGCTGTAGGTGGTGTAGAAAGCAATTCTGTTAACTATGGTAAAGCTCCTGTTGATGGTGGTTATGGTGGTGCTTCTGCCGCTGGTGGTCCGAGCAACGGTTTTGCTGGTAGTCAATACCCTGGAAGTGCAGCTGGGTATGGCAGTGGAGGACATGGATATGGCGAAAGTGGTCAAGAAAATTTCAGCAATGATGATCATGAAGCGGATGCTTTTGCCAAACGCGCTTGATGGAGCCTTGGAAAGTCTTTAGGTGTTTACCAAACTTAGGTGGATTTGCTCCTGATATTCTTTTTTAGCATGTATAATCAGAAAGAAATGTGACTCTTATTCTGTGTCCGTTCCCTTTGTTATGAACCAGGAATCTAAAGTTTGTTGCATGTTTTGGTAAATTGAAATCTTCACCAGGAGTTTGAGTCTCATTGACACTGCTTTAAAACATTGTTCGGGTTTATATATAGTGATATAAACTGGTATGTATCATTCAGAAAATTAATGAATAAAGACAGAATTTGTAACAATGTACAGAGCCAATCATGTTTAGTTTCTTCCTCGAGCAATCTAGACATTCTGTTGTTCAAAATAACAGTTTTAAGCTGTGTCTAAGAAACCAAACGAAATGGAACTGTTTACCTAGCCTTTACTATAACTCATTTATACGGTTCAGTTCAATGTCCGATTCATTTTTCAAAACACCGGTTGTAGAAGCCACTTCCTGTTCATTCATCTAGTTTCATATTTTTGACAGTTAATTAAAAAATAAAGCAAAGTAAAAATTTCAGAAGTTACTATTATCAAGACAAGACCAGATCAAAGGAAGCTTTACTGTACTCAATAATTTATACTCTTTTTTTTTCTTTTCTTTCTATTCCTACATTCTAAAAACTAAATGATATCAATGTTGTTCATCTTCATCCATAGAATACAATATCTTTTTTGCATTTTGAAAAAGAGGAGAACCTTTCTTGGTTCTTTCAACAATTTGCCTTATCAATTGCCTCTCCATCTCATCATTATCACAATCACAGCTTTCATCTCCACTAACATTCAATTCACTAGAGCTTTTTCCTTCCAACATTGTCTCCTTGCTAAAATAGGGTTCCCTTGAAGGACTTCCTTCATCAACCACCGAGTTCGTTGCCGAACTGTGCTCAAAACCTGTTACATGCCAGTCATGTGAAAGTGGCGAACCTTGTTTGTTGTCATCATCACTATCATTAATGTTGGTTGATGGTGAATTGTCTTCAGAATCATTTATCTTTATTAATTCTTCATAGGCTTCGTTGTATGCATCGAGTGCTTCACCAGATAAATTGAGAATTAAGGGCTGAGACATAGTGTCACAATCTTCACGAATCATCGAGTTTCCTTTGGTAGGAGAAGATGCCTTTTCGAAACTGCCATCATGTTTGGATTCCAAAAACCTCACTTGCCTTTGGCTATTTTCAAGGGCAATCTCAAGCTCCTTTACTCGTTTCTCGAGTTGGTGCTGTATGACTTCGTGCAAACGTACACTCAGTTCATGCGGCGAAACTCCATAGTTTGAAGGAAGAGGTGTAGTGACATTGGCATCTGTTCCACCGAACACGTTGGCTCGCAACTCGCCTTGAGCAAAATCTGCTACGAAGTCTGGGTCAATCTGCAAAAATATTGCACATTAACACTTATGGTCACATGTAAGAGTTATTATCTCGGACCAAAAGAAGCAATGGCGCAAAGCATGGAATGAAACTTTATACTGCAAACCATGGAATGAAATTTTATACTAGTGAGTGAAATAGCTATTGGTAAAACGTTCGTCGGTTTCGTCAAATGAATGTTCGTAAAAATCAGTATTTTCCATAAACATGTGTTGGAATTTCAAGGCAAAATAAGGCATGAAACATTGAGCAACTTGAGCTAAAACCGTATCTATAGCTTTGGGAGAATTTTCTTTTTCCTGTTGTTATTCTACACACCAACACAAGATAGTCACGAGAAACTTATTATTCTACACTCCAACACAAGATAGTCGCGAGAAACTCAAATACGCCACAATTCCATTTTCTACTAGAAGTTGAACAAACAAGCATATGTTTGGATTGACAGCAAGTTTGGCAGAATCACGGTGTGTCGCCGTGATTTTGGCAGAAGTTACATTTTGGAGTTTCACTAAAATCACGGTGGCGCATTGATTTTGCCAAATTTAGCATCAATCCAAACATGCACTAAATGATAAGAATGCATGTAAATAGAAAGGGGCCATTTTCATTCTTTGATATTTCCATCATTGTCTTCAACGAGAAAGCGCATACATGGAAAAAACTAATAAAACGATATATTTTAAGACAAATTTGTGTCAGAATAAAAAATGTGACAGTTATGCTCACCTCGACAAGCTCAGATAATTTTCTATCCAGGCTTGAATTATTCATGTCCAACCCTAACCTCTCAAGTTCAGCTTCAAGCTCAGCTTCAATTTTGCTCATAGATTCCGAACTTTGTTCTTCCTTCTTATCACATGACGATTCTTTGCATTCTATTCTTGGAGAGCAATCCACGTGTTTTTCAGGGGAAAATTCATGTAGCTCCTTACCATTGAAGGAATGATCACATGTTTCTTGTGAACCGTAATTTTCATTATGCAACTCCTTCACAGTTAAAGAATCTTTCATATCAAGTTCATCTTGAAGATCTTGAACCAAGTTCTCACTCTGCTTCAACAATTCTCGTAGCTTGATTATTTCTCTTTTATTTCCCATGATGCAAATTATTATCCCAAGAGAAATCCCAAAGCTGAAGAGTAACGTCGGATCTGATGATTGCAAATGCGTTAATAAACCACTATCAGAGAAAAACGCATCGCATAACAGAAATCAAGTATAAATTCTCATCAAGTAAACAGTCAATTTGGTCGATAAATGTTTGAGACAATGTCACTATTTTCTCTGAATGTATCAAAATTACAACGACATCCGTGAGCGTATATTTTTGTAATTTCGAACACCTCACTGACTTACATTGATCACATTGGAGAATGTTTTGGTAATTTTGATTAATCCAAGGACTATAGTAATATCGCTTGACACATTCAAGGATCAAAACCACCGTTTACTCAGTGTTGTCGATGGCGGAGAGCCAAAATTCAGCCATCCCAGCCATTTTGTGGCACCGTTATAGCAGATTATCACAGGAAAACCCGCAATACCGGACGATATTTACCATTGCGGTGAGCTCAAAAACCGCATGTACAGCCTCCATAGCGGCCATGGCACTGCTATTTGATAACACTCACATTGGACTCATTTTTACGCAGTGTAAAAGTTTGCAGCTTAACCGCAAAAACAGTTTAAAATAGTGGTTCTAAACATATGTATGAACAAGAAATACATGAACAGCTATTTCAAACACAACACGTGCTAATGAGATTTGCTTTAAATAAGAAATTATACCATATCGAGTGTTTTTTCCATTAAGCACGTCCTCAGAAAAGCTTGACCTTCGATTTCGCCCAATAATTGCATCCAGCTTCATCTTCTTGGTGTCATCTTTGTCTTTTGCTCGCCCAGCTTTATGCAACTTATGCTCCTTACTCGCAGTTGACGAATTGATAAAAGTATCATTGCCTCTATTGAATATTCGGCTTCCATTGCTTACACGAAACGATCTTGTGGCCTTACATGATAATGAAAGAGGACTGAAAACATACTCTTCCATGAAACAACTTTCTAATGAATTTAACGGTCTACTAACATGCTTGGGAAAACGTTTCGTCGATACACAGGTTTTATGTCCGAAAGAGTTTTGTATAGGAACCACATTGGTAGAAAACTCAGAAAGAAAGAAACCATGGTTGCCAAAAGTATCACTCTTCCGCTCATTTCCGTCTTCACCATGCTTAAAGCTATCATAGTATCCATACGGTGATAATGGCATGGCTAAGTTTGATATGGAAAGCAGATCACTCTCATTATACCTTCGATTAGACAACATATCTCCTGTCGAAAAACCATCCAAGGAACTCAAATCCGAGGACTTCTCATCCAAACCCCTTCGATCTAAAGAAACATCTTTTCCCATTTCTTGTCTCTGCATATGTTTGACGAACGGTAAGCAGTAACTCGACGACTCAACATTCTCAAATTTCAAATCCTCTGAAGACAAACGATACGAACCATCACCATTCTCCGAACTCCTATTATTCCAATATTTCGCTAAACAACCAGCTCCAACAGCCACCGCAACACGCAAAAAATCCTCCATTCTTAACCCAGCATCATCAATCACAGATCACATAAAACGACAGTTCGTTCAAATTCCACTATGCGATAGTGCTATATCGCAACTATCACCGTTATCCATTATTCGACAACACAACACTAAACACTAAACAAACTCCACAATACAAACTACCCTCTTCCATTCAATTATCAGTATCAATAATCAAACAACCAAATGAATAACTTTCCATGAATGAATCAATAAATGCCCTTCAAGTATTCTAATAATAACAAAACCCTAAATGCAAACATTCAAAGAAAAAAAACGCAATTCACTCCAACAAAACTGAAATTACTCAAAGGAACCAAAATTCACTATGAAAGTATAGAACTTGAAGCGTCACTGCAAAACCCTTATACGAGAAAACCCTAATAAAAAAATGGTGTTTCTTGTTAATTTTTATCCGGCATTGAAGAAGAATTAAAAAAAAAACGAAACGACTAAAAAAACCCAAAAAAGCTTACTTTCCAGAAATTCCTCAGTATTCGTGAAACGAAAACTAGGACACACGAAGTATTGTCGAATCTCGTAGGTTGTTTATTGTTCACACCGTTATCTTCAACAAAGTATTTTCACGGATGAAAAAAACATTAATGTTTTGTTGCTGAGAAAAATATCGAACAAATAATAGAATTTTTATTTTTATTTTTTAAATTCAAATTTTTGCCGAGTCATTGGAATCTCATCCCAACTTTGCCGTGTGTTACGTCATAAATGTTTTTGTAATAGAAATATTAAATAAAGAGAGGAAAGGAAAGTGTTAATTGATTGATAATTATGAAAGTGTTAATTAATTGATAATTATGAAAGTGTCTTTTTAAGATTGTGATTGGTTGTAATAGACAAATAAAAAGATAAATAAGTGGTAAATAAAGAAAGAGAAAACAAAATGGATAGTAGTGTTACTTTTATTTTTATTGATAAGTTAATAATGTTATCTTTTTTCTTTGTTCTAGTAATGGTATTTTACTAACCTGTTTAGAGGTTTTATTTATTTTTTAAATAAGGTTTTTAAAATAAATAAATTAAATTAAATTTTGTATTTGACGAGATATGAACCAAAGACTTAAAAGATACAAAGTCTCTCTTCTACCAACTATTAGAATATTAATAGTAATTCATATTTATTTAGTTGTACTATTTTCTTAGTCCTAAGTTTGTTAGAGGGTATTTTAGTATTTTATCTTATACTAGTAATCCTAGTTTTAGCTTATAAATAGGGTGACAATCATTGTAACATAATCATGTTTTGTAGCCGTCATTCTTAATAGAATATTTCTCCTTTTCATCATTTATTCTACCTTTGCACCAACAATTGGTATCTAGAGCTCCGGTTCAGATTCATTGGGAAACACGAGTGAACGTGAGGTCTTGTGTGTTTGATTTTGATTCTTAGATTCGTGTTGAATCTTGAACAAAATCTGATCAGAATTTTAATTTTGTGGGTTGGGAAACACTGTGTGAGAAATCTGAGTGTATTGTGCAAGGTAGAAGATGAACGGAAACGACAACATGAACACCAAGCTTCCAGTATTTGACGGTAAAAACTGGAATCGTTGGATGATCCAAATGCGTGTATTGTTTGGTGCCCAAGATGTTTTAGATCTTGTCACTGATGGTTATGTTCCGGTAGCAGCAGATGCAACGGATGAACAGAAAAACGCGCAAAAGGAAGTAAGGAAGAAGGATCAGAAAGCATTATTCTTTATTCATCAATGTGTTGATGTAAATGTGTTTGAGAAGATTGCAGATTCAACGACAGCAAAGGCTGCGTGGGACACACTGGTTAGATGTTATGGTGGTGACGCATCAGTGAAGAAGGTGAAGCTTCAGTCCTTGAGAAAGCAATATGAGAATCTCAACATGAAGAATAATGAGAAAGTTTCTGAATACATCTCCAGAGTGATTCTGATCACTAATGAGATGAAGGCGTGTGGAGAAACTCTTTCTGAAGAAACAATCATGGAGAAGGTATTGAGATCCCTTACTCCTCAATTTGATTACATTGTGGTAGCAATAGAACATTCCAAAGATCTGAGCATCATAAGAATTGAAGAGCTGCAGAGCAGTCTAGAAGCGCAAGAGTTGCGTTTGACTGAGAGAACTTCTGAAAAGGAAGTAGAGCAGCAGGCTCTGAAAGCAACTTCTGATAGGAGGTATCAGAAGCAGTCAGAAGCCAAGAGAAGATCTGATGGTGGTCAGAAGTCAGAAAGCTCAATCTCTGATAGGCAAAAGAATGCTTAGAAGGGAAAAGAGAAGTATGACAAGAAGAAGATCCAATGTTACTGTTGTAAGAAGTTTAGTCACTTTGCTAGAGATTGTTGGTCAAACAAGGAGAAGAAATCAGAAGAAGCAAATATAGCCAGAAGTTCTGATGACGAATCTGTGCTATTGATGGCCTCTGAATTTGATGATCTGACAGACTGGTGGTATATGGACACTGGTTGTTCAAATCATCTTACTGGAAACAAGAAATGGCTGGTTGACTTTGACTCTGAAAAGAGAACAAAGATCAGATGTGCTGATGACAAATATCTTAATGCAGAAGGTATGGGAAATGTCAGAGTGATTCTGAACAATGGGAAAACAGCATTGATTCAGAACGTGTGGTATGTACCTGGCATCAGAAGCAATCTGATGAGTGTGGGACAATTAATTGAGAAAGGTTTTTCAGTTACCGTGAAGGATAATCTTCTGAAGCTGTATGACTGCAATCAGAAGTTGATTATGGAGTTAGAACAAGGAAGAAATAGAACATTCAAGGTGAATGTCAGAACTGCAGACTCAGAATGTCTTAGTGCAACATGTGCTGAGAAGGAGAGTGAGCAGTGGCACAGAAGATTTGGTCATTTGAATTTCAGAAGCTTAAAACATCTGAATTCAAAGAAGTTGGTACATGGAATTCCTGCAATTAAGAAGCCTGAAAAATCATGCAAAGTTTGTATGGAAGGAAAACAACCACGATTGCCATTTGTGTCAGAAGCTGCTCCAAGAGCAAAACATGCCTTGGGAGTTGTACATTCTGATGTGTGTGGTCCATTTCCAGTAGCATCAATTGGAGGGAATAAATACTTTGTGTTATTTGTTGATGAATTCACAAGAATGACATGGGTATCCCTTATTAAGTTCAAACACGAGGTGCTTGATGAATTCAAGAAGTTCAGAATGAAGGCTGAGAATCAGAGTGGTCAGAAATTGAAGATTCTTAGAACTGATGGTGGAGGTGAGTATAACTCCAAAGAGTTCCAGAAGTTCTGTGAGGAGAATGGAATTGAGCATGAGGTTACTGCTCCTTATACCCCTCAACACAATGGTCTTGCTGAAAGAAGAAACCGTACTTTGCTTGATATGGTGAGAAGCATGCTAAAGGAGAAGAAGCTTCCTCAGAAGCTCTGGGGAGAAGTTGTTGCCACTGCAACGTATGTACTCAACAGATGTTCTACGAAGAAGTTGAAGGAAATAGTTCCAATACAGAAGTGGACTGGAGATAAGCAAAGTGTTAGTCATCTGAAGGTGTTTGGTTCTGTTTGCTATAAACATGTTCCAGAAGCCAGAAGACAGAAGTTGGATGATAGAAGCAAAGTGATGATTCTGATAGGATACCACAGTACAGGTGCATACAAGCTCTATTGTCCAGAAACCAATAAAATTGAATTCAGCAGAGATGTGATTGTGAAGGAATCAGAAGTTTGGAATTGGGATAAGTCTCAATCTAATTCTGATGTTAGAACCTCTGAAGAAAGGCCAGAGTTAAGAATTTTTGAAGTTGGAGTAAACCCTGACGTTGACTCTGACTCTGATACTGATTCAAACTCTGAAGATGACTCAGAAGATGAAGGTGACTCTGATGACCCAGACTCTGATAATTCAGACTCTGATGGCAATCCAGATCTTGGTGGCAATTCAGACTCTGGAAATATTCCAGACTCTGAAGATGGTCAAAGCTCTGGAGGTCAATCATCTGAAGCCCAAGACTCTGAACAAGTTCAGAGACCACAAAGAATCAGAAACGTCCCCAGAAGATATGCAGAATTTGACATGCTGCAAGACACTGAAGTAGACTCTGAAGGAGAAGTTATTCAGTGTGCCATGATGGTAGCCTCTGAACCCATAAATACAGAAGAGGCTCTTAAGCAGAAGCTCTGGCTAAAGGCCATGAAAGAAGAACTTGATGCTATAGAGAGAAACAAGACTTGGAAGCTGACAGAACTTCCAAAAGACAAGAAAGCCATCAGCGTTAGATGGGTTTTCAAGCAGAAGTTAAAGCCAGATGGCTCAATTGGCAAACATAAAGCAAGGTTGGTAGCCAGAGGATTTCTACAAAAACCTGGGCTGGATTACTCTGAAGTGTTTGCACCTGTAGCAAGACATGAAACAATCAGAATGGTGATTGCAATAGTTGCTAACAGGAATTGGCCTCTAATGCATTTAGATGTAAAATCTGCATTTCTGAACGGTCCATTAGAAGAAGAAGTTTACGTGTCACAACCTCCTGGATTTGTGAAAAAGAATCAGGAAGGGATGGTGTACAGATTATACAAAGCTCTATATGGATTGAAACAAGCGCCCAGAGCTTGGAATCAGAAGATTGATTCATTTTTCAAGAAGCAAGGCTTTCAGAAATGTGAGATGGAGTACGGTGTCTATGTTCAGCATACTTCTGAAGGCAATATGACTCTGGTATGTTTATATGTTGATGATATACTATTGACTGGAAGTTCTGAACAGGAGATAGCCAAGTTCAAGAAAGTTCTGATGAATGAATTTGAAATGACTGACCTAGGAAAAATGACATACTTTCTAGGGATGGAGTTCAGATATTCTGAGAAAGGTATCATTTTGCATCAGCTCAAGTATGAATTAGAACTTCTGAGGAGATTTGATCTGAAGAATTGTAAGATGGCTGTCACACCTTCTGATACAAATCAGAAACTGGATTCAGACTCTGAAGGAAAGGATGTGGACGCTACAACCTTCAAACA